CGCGCGCGAGCTCAGTTGTTAGCTTTTTCTCTCACAGTCACACCCATCGCAATTAACTAATGGCATATACAGAGCGCAAAAATTATTATATAAATGCATCATACGTAGATATAATTTTGTGACATACTTCGTTTATGTGTGAAAAGAGATATGTGATGTAATGTATAAGTAAAAATGAAATTAGTAGAGAGAGAGAGAGAGAGAGAGGAAAAGAAGAGAAAGAAGAAAGAGAGAGATTGAAATTATGCAATCATGTGAGAATAATGGGTACAAGTATATGTAAATAATAAGCTCTTTTTGACGAGATGCACGCATACGCACGTATTAACGCCTATAATTATGCAATGCAGTAGGTTTAATTTCCGTAATAGGTATGCAAATTATACTGTAAGGCGATGTGATCATTATCGCTACAACGAAACACGCTATGCGGCGCGTCTGGAATTAATTATTAATTAGACTAATTACATAAACAGTAGTTAGCTAACGGATAGGGCAGTATAAATATTTTGTGCGCTACACGACCGATTAGCGGCGAAATTGCAGCAATGCGTTGCAGCCATTCGCGTACGAATGCCCATATTATGAGTATGGAATTACTTACGTAACGCTAATGTAATTTCACGAAATGGCTTTATTCAAACCGTCACGGAATTAGTCATGTCGCTGAATTACTAGAGCGTTTGCTGTAATTATTAACCTCGTCCACAGACTGCGTCCCGGAATATTCGTTCTTAACCTCTAAATCTCCTACAGGTCGTACCCAGGAAATGAACACAGATTTAAATTGTCACTGGGAGACTAATATATTAAATTTTTCTCGGAAATTATCATATCATCTCTAGAGAATTTCTATATCCTCTAGATTGTATCTATAACGGGAGTAATCCCGCACGCGTTTCCCCGCGCATATATTTTCATACATTTTACAGTTAAAAGCTAACTAATAACGGACACCTCGATAAATTGCCGCCGGCTTCGCTTCGTAGAAGATCTCAGGAAAGATCGTCTCGTCCACAACTTAACAATATTCAACATTAACTACGCCGGGTAAGTAAACGTCAAGTTCAAACTTCGAAAAAGTTAAAACCCATTTGGATGAATAATAAGGTTTTGTTATTAAATGTTGTTCCAGCGCGAAGTTTCATTCACGGCTTCATGTTCAGTCGACTCATATGGCAAGAATTACTGATGCTTCGATATTTTAATTAAAACCAACTCGCTTTCAACTAATCGCAAAATCTTTCGTTGAAACGAGAAATCGGTAAAACCCACGAGAGATTTTGACCGCTCCGATTTGTTTTCGTATTTTGCGTAAAAAACAGCGTAATTTCAGTCATGCACGTTTACCATTTGTAAGATTAACATAAAATATAACGCTAAAAATATTCCGCAACAGAGTCCCCAAATTGACGACAAGTAAATGTATGTATTCCACGAAATATCAAATTTCTTTTTAATAAAATAGTCGAAGTACCTGCGACAAAAACGATCGCGAATTGAAATTTAGAATAATATAACAGTAAAAAAAAGGGTTTTTCATAAATAAAGCTTTGTAAATGAAAATACACGATGAAATACTATCCGTCCTTCAAAACTCGGTTGATTTTTACATATAAATTATCACAATTCAAAACTTAATTACTAAAAAATATCAAACATCGAAATTGTACAGTGGCACAAAATAATATATGAATATTTATACCTATGAATTCTATATATTCATACTGTTATCAACGCGTTGGTACGCGCTGGTACTCACATTTGCCTGTAACATTTACGCCTCTAAAAATTTAATCTCTTCAGAAATACCAACACATTCTGAGTCGGAATTTTAGATTTGCAGTAACTATGCTACAAGTGATTACCCGCTGCTGTTTTTTGCATTTTAAAGCTCAAAAAGATAAAATGATAAAAAATAATAAAATGTGATGAATTTTTCTTTTTTCTGGTCTTTTTGTAATTACTCTTTATTACTATCAAAGATTTTAATGGAATTTGGAGATTTAAGTGATGAAAAAAAACAATAATGTGTCTTAATATATTAATAGAAATTTCAATTTAGATTCAATAACAGCAACAAATGCTAAATACAAATAAAGAAATCACAAATTAGCATCTGCAAAACTTACAGTGTCATAAATTTGTTCCGCAAATCAGTATACGTATAAATTCAGATACATTAATTTTTCATTATAAATGTTAAACATTGTTCAAATAAAAATATAATAAACATTATAAATAAATAATCATCATGTAATTCCTTTAAAAAAAAGATAAAGATTAGATAATATATTTATTATATGACTGATTGATGTCGTAATTTATCACTTTAAATTATTTCTTTCCGACTTTAATAAATATATTCCTGAAGAGATGTTAATCTCTTTAAATCTTACAAGAAAGAAAAAGAAAGAGTATACACTTTCTAATTGAATGACTCTCAAGACTTCGCACACGTAACGCCGGATCTCAGATGCGCAAACGAATAAATAAACTCACCACCGATAAGTCGTGTTTTCCGTGTTACATTCCTGAATCGCGCGTCAGAGTAAAATTAAGAATAGCAGCATTCCGTGTTGCATTAGCAATGTTTGGCGCGATACATTATTTTTATTAAGAAAAATATTGCGTATAATCTTGCTCTGTGTATGAACTCGAAAAGAAACAGTAATCGTTCACTTATTCTTTTTATATCTTTTATCATACTTGTGTTTACTTTTTTTTAGGAGAATTTATGATATAAAATTTTTACTCGTCTGTAGCTCTGAATTATCTCAAGTATATGAAATCATATCGATCGGCTGCTGCAACAGTCGCAAGACAAATATTCTCAATGAGTACATTGATAAAAACAAACTACAATAAGAACACAAAACCCTGACACGGAGACAATCACGCGCATCGAAAGTTGTCCTTCGCGCAAGGACGCGTCGAGTCAGGCAAGCGTGAATTACGCGATCTCTCTTTCTCTCTCTCTCTCGCATCCATCTCGATTAAAAAATGAATGTTTACTGTGACATAACGGGCGATTTCTGCGGCTGAACGAAAGTTACAGCGTGTTTGAACGATAGAAAACGATTTCCGATCATCTTTCGCGCATTCCTAAGGAATGTGTGTCACTATTCGACGAATGAATCTCGCATCACCACGCACTAAGCGCCGATCGACGCATCAGGTGTCAGTCACCTCGAGTCGTGAGAACGCGACTCTCGCGTGCGCGGCTGATACATACTTTCCTCGCACACGTATCACGTTATGCACCATCGTCGCGAATGTCAACGCGACTCTGATAATTAATAATGACGAGCGCGCGCGCCGAGTCGCGAAACACACGTTGCACTGTAACATCTCGCGAGCACGTTAACGCACGAACGAGTCAATTCTACCACGGTTGTTCCGTTGATTCGCGGACAGACGAGAAATTATCTCTCTGACGGTCGAAAATTCAAGTGTCTCAAGATGCCAAACTTCACGTTGTTGGAGACGACAGCGGGAAAATGGAGTATAAATCGTCTCGCGATAACCGTCAGTCGAGTGGCGCGGTGCGAAGTCATGAGTATATGACAAATACAACCAATACTCACCCCGTGTCCTATTGACCGTGGCAGTCTCTGTGACCTGTCCGGAATCCGTCGCCGTCGGTGGTGGTCCGGGCTCTCGTCTTCGTCTTCGTCCCGCGCCTTTCACCGTTTCGCAACGAGGTGCAGGATGCGCGAGGATCGTCGTCGTTCACTGACGCCGGTTTTACGCCGGCCGAGTCACTCGCGATAAATCACTCGCGCGACAAATCATCAGCGGCAACGCGTGACGATGACAATCGCGCACCAAGGGGTACGCACGACGTACGCGGGGACACGCACGAGCGCGAGATCTGCGAAACGCGACGCGCGAACAACGCTCCGAACGCTCCCATCGGTCAGCTGCAACTGGCGACCGACGCGGCGGCAATGATGGCGACGGGAGGGGGGAGGCCGGCTGCGCGCGCAACTCCGTAACTCAAGCACCAAACTTCAGCGCAAACGGAACAACGGAGATTATTACAATTTCTTTTTTATGAAATAAAGCGCTGACAATAGAAACGATATTTTTCAACGAATTAGGTTGCCGATAAGTGGCTTAAATTATACGATACGAGTGTTGAGTAAAGATCGAAACCAATATAATTTTTCCGAGGTTCATGTTGCGATGACATTTTCTACCATCCTTATGTTACACTTTCTATATTTAACACACAATAGAGCCTCGAAAGATTACTATGTATATACGTGTATACTTCAGACATAAGAAAAGAGAAAAGGGAAATCAAAATTGCAGGAACATATAGAAAGTGCTTGAGAAAAATGAATCTGACGATCCTTCCCATACAACATAAATGTTCAAAAAATATTTCAGAGATGTCTCAAAGATATTTGATATCTTTCAGACGTCTCTAGAATGTATTTTGGACATTTGTGCTATATGGATTATTTTGTCGCAAATAATAAAAAATATTGTGGTGTCTGTTTGTTTAATATATTTACAAAGTTAAAAGTTAAATTTAACGAGGTTATATCTCTTTTAATAATTGCTTTCAAGGGTAACAGAAATGTTCACGTTGTAAAGCACATTGTCGTGCAGCACGTTTAAAGTACATTTCCGTGTTTAGATTAAAATTATTTAGTTTGATCAGTGTTGTTCTATGTTAGTTTCTCTTATTCGTCGTATTTTGAGCACTCTGAATCTAATAGATAATAAATACCTTAAAAAAACCCTGCGGAAACTCACAACCGGCCTATTTCTTATTTTGTCGTTATTGGCAAAATAGAAGACGAAAATGATGTTTTGTGTAATATTGCGTAGAAAAATATTAGTTAGTAATACGTAATGATCGTATAAAGTTACTAATACTATATATATTTGTTCGTGTTTCGACAAGACTTTTTACACTTTATTAATTAGATTTCAACTACACTTTTACACTCTGTTATATTTGCTGCACTAGTGCAGAAAGTTCAGTTGAAAGAAACACAAGTCTCCAATGCGTAATGTCAAAAGTGTGTCAACTGGAGCAAGGCTTGGGGTTTCCTGGCCATCTATTGGAGGAAAGGAAAGACGAAGTGGGAAAAGTTGAAATTAAACATTTGATTATTTCAATCAAATAAAATAGCTAGTGCAAATGTTATTCAACCATAAAAAAGTATATGTATAAACATACGTCTACTATAGATCCCAATAGATAACATCATTTACAGAAGTAAGTTGTATAGGTTAAGTTAGGTTAGGGTTAGGCTATCATACGAAAACCTAACAAGCTTATCAATTTTGTTTAACATTCTGCTCATCAATTTCGTATCTCTTATCACCTTTGTTACTTTTTCTTTTCTTCCTTTCGTTTTTAGCGCAGAAATGGTGCAAAGTGCGCACATCGCGAATTAATCTCCGTCGTTCTTCTCGCCATGGACAACGACCCAGGTATAATGTGTTTTCGTCATTGCCCGGCGAAGAGTGTATTTTGCAAGAATATTCCCACGACGTGTCCGGTTTGCTCGTCGCATATCCGAGATTTCTTCGTAGTCCCCTTTCGCATTCCGTATCCACTCACAAACGCTATCCACAATCCGACCAGTGTCATTATTCGACCCGCTCGAGGTAGCTTTCTCGAGGATTATGATGCAACGCGAGATTTGCACGTTGGAATAGTCGATTCTACGGGAAATATAGTTGAATTTGATAGAAACGGCTTGATAGTGAATGACGTGGTGAGATGGACAGATTGCGTCGCGTTTAAGGTCGTGCCAGTTGCTTGGACTGTTCAATGGGACGATATATTATCATTCATGTTGAAAGATTTCAAATGGAAACCTATCAACTATAACGAAACCACTATGAATTGCTTTGATTTTGTTTTGGAATTTTTTAACAATCTTGGACATGGGGACTTGAAATTTGCGAGCAAGGAAGATTTGTGCAAAAAACTGATACTGTCAAGAATTCAGAATGTAATTAGATACAGTTCATTATATAGAGCCTTGAAAGATCAAGAATATGTGCTGTCAAATAAGTACATTTGACATATCTTTGTTTTTGTCAGCCCTTAATGATACATAATTTGTAAAACAATAATATAATAAATGCTTATCTTTATACATGTCTTTTTTTATTGATTCTTTATTTATTTATTATAAAAAATAGAGTAATCTCAATAATTTGAGAGTTTTGCTAACTATTTCAAGTAGTAGGATGATATTGAACTTTAGCTCTTTTGTTCAAAATTTATTGGATTTTTATTTTACAACTAAAAACAATAGAGAATTAAATATAAGTAATATAAAAGTACTTAAAAATGTTTGCTCACTATTATATAACATATTTTTGAAGTTATATACATTTTTTATTAAAAAGGAAACTTTTTATCTTTGCAGAAAGTACAGGAAGCTAAATAAAACAACAAAACACTTATCACAATTAGAACATTGTCACTTAGCATACATTCTGACTAGAGCAGGCAGCAATTATTGAGACTTTCTTATTGATAGCAACGACAAGATGATTCTTACCAGAATCAGAAAGTCATTACTTAGTATACGCTCTGAACAAGGCAAACTGCAATTGTTGAGAGGTCTTATTACTAGTAGCAGTGAAGACAAGTTTGACGTGATAGTCATTGGTGGCGGTCATGCTGGAACTGAAGCGTGTGCAGCTGCTGTTAGAATGGGTGCAAAGACATTACTGGTTACTCAGAAGAAAAGTACCATAGGTACGTTCCAAACAATACAAAAATTCAAATGACACCAAGACAAATTTATTTATAAATTAAAAGGTCAAAATATGTGTACTAAAGGCAAATTTTAGACAATATTCATTCTATTTAATAAAAATTCTTACATTTACGTTGTATTTGTAGGAGAGATGTCATGCAATCCATCCTTTGGTGGAATCGGAAAAGGTCATCTTATGAGAGAGGTAGATGCTTTGGATGGAGTGTGCTGTCAAATATGCGACATCTCAGGTATACACTACAAGGTTCTGAACAAGAGCAAAGGACCAGCAGTATGGGGTTTGAGGGCTCAGATAGACAGGAAGTTATACAAGAAACACCTTCAAGCAAAGCTTTTTAACATGCCTGGACTGCATATTCATGAATCTTCCGTAGAAGATCTGATTTTGGCGAATGATTCTTTGTCGTGTCATGGAGTGATTCTCAGTATGTTTGAAAATATATACTACATTAGCAAAAATAGAGAAATTTCAAGAGTTATTTTGATTTAAAAATTTTGATTTAACTTTTATTAAATTCGTGTTATTGTATTACCTTGTAGAAGATGGCACGAAAATATTCGGCAATGCGGTGGTTATAACTACGGGAACTTTCTTAAAGGGTCAAATAAATATCGGATTGGAGAAAAGGCCAGCAGGTAGGATGGACGACGAACCAAGTATTGGCTTGGCAGATACACTCTACAGACTCGGATTTCAAATAGGAAGATTAAAAACTGGTAAGGATAATATTTTTACATACTACATTTTGCAAGATATTTGAAACGAATTCCTGCAACTTTTACTTTAAACGTCTTCTGGCAATTTATTATTTTTCTTTTATTTCAGGCACGCCACCGAGGTTAGAGAAGGAAAGCATCGATTTCACGAAATGTGTAGAATATTTACCAGATACATCTCCTATACCGTTCTCATTTATGAGTGATAAAGTATGGTTATTGCCGAATGAACAAGTATCAACGTATCTAACATATACAAACGCGAACGTCGCGAAAATCATAAGAGACAACATGCACTGTAATTTGCATGTAACGGAGGAAGTAACAGGTCCACGTTATTGTCCGAGTATAGAGAGCAAAGTTTTGCGTTTCGCAACAACGATACATCAGATCTGGCTGGAGCCGGAAGGTCTAGACTCACCATTAATTTATCCCAGCGGATTATCTTGCACCCTGCCGGAAGAAAAACAAGTGGAGCTTGTGAAATGTATCTCAGGGCTAGAAAACGCTCGTATAGGTAATTGTTACGTGCATTGTCGATCTTCACAAGACGAATTTTTAGCTGACGTTATCAGCTTTTTTATGTTATGGTGTTATATCAAATAATTTATAGATTAATAATTATATTTGTTTGCATAGTAAAACCTGGTTACGGTGTCGAATACGACTACGTAGATCCTAGAGAATTAACATCCGAATTGGAGACCAGGAAGATTTCAGGACTATTCCTTGCTGGACAAATAAACGGCACTACTGGCTATGAGGAGGCAGCCGCGCAAGGTATCATAGCGGGTGTCAACGCGGCCGCTAAGGTAATTAGTTTTAGAATAAAATGTAAAAAACTAATCTTTTTTCTATAGAGAGAAAGATTCAAGAAGATACATTTTGTTCGAACATATTTGTGCAAAAAATTTTCATTTTAGTCAGCACATTCTATTGTCTATAAAATTTTATAAAAATTAACGATTCCATAGAATCGCCAAAGATTTTATAAAATTTGATGAATTAATCAACTTATTTTAATATTTTAACTTCTAAATAAATTTATTTACGCCTAAATTCAGATATTGAAGAAGCCGCCACTTGTGATAAGCCGAACTGAGGGTTACATTGGCGTTCTCATCGACGATCTAACGACGCAGGGTACCACCGAACCATACAGAATGTTCACCAGCAGAGCGGAATTTCGTATAAGCTTGCGTCCGGACAACGCCGATTATAGACTGACTGAGAAGGGTTACAAAGTTGGTTGCGTTTCGCAAAAGAGGATGGACAAGACATGGGACATTCAACGTAAGATGCAGCAAGTCGTACAACTACTTAAGAGTGAAAGAAAGTCAAACACAAAGTGGCGGCATATGTTGAGGTTAAAGCCCAGCAAGTCTACTAGCAACAAATCGGCTTTTGATATTCTTGGTAATCCGAATCATAATATTACATTTGCACTGATGGTGAAAAGATTGCCAGAATTACTGAGCCACCTTGATCAAGATCCTGTTCTGGCGATGAGAGTAGAGGTATGCGGATTGATTATGAGGATAATGAACACTTGCATATCTTGGCAAGAAAAGTTTGATGACTTGAAAGTGTGATTATTTTTAAAAGATAAGTTATTAGAAATTTCTATTGATTACTTTTAGATAGAGGCAAGATATGCATTTGCTGTTGCGAACCAGCAAAATCAAGTGGATGATATCAGAAGGAATGAGCAGATGATTATACCCGAAGATATTGACTATAATAGGTAACAAAAGGAAATTATAACCAAAGATTCACTTTATTTTCATCTTGCATAAATTTTCTGAAAAGGATTAATAATCGTTTGTTTTATTTTCGTACAGTGTCGAATTGAATTTATCAAATGAAGATAAAGAGAAACTCACAAAATATCTCCCACGCACGGTAAATCTATATCTTACATTGTCTCCTCCACTATTACTATTTCCTCTATATAAAAACTTTAATTTGTATCGAGAATTTTTTTTGTTTTTTTCCCTTTTTTTAACATCAATGATATATATATATATATATATATATTTGTTACTATTTTAAGATATAATTCTTATATAATTGATACTTATTGTCATCTTGATAGCTATTTTTATCTATATTAATTAGAATCTACTTTACAGATTGCGGCAGCTAATAAAATCTCAGGTGTAACACCTATGGCTGTGTTAAAACTGTTTTATCACATCAGACATCGCTCCAACGAGTATACCACCAAAGCATAACACCATATTATAATATATAATGATATGTATTATATAATGATTAGTGTTTACTGTTATTTTGATAAAACAATATAGTAAAATATTTAAAAAATTAATAGTTCTTTATTTTAATTAATTAAATTAATTAATTTAATATTTATTTTTTGAGAACGCAAGTTTTATATGCAATGCACATTTCTACTCATTCTTATAATGATTTTGGTTCAAATTCTATATTTTGATTTATGTTTTTCTCTCTCGTCTTAACTAAATTTATTACATTTTGAATAGTTTTCTTCTTTTGTAACCTAAATAATGATTTTTAGTGTTTTGTTCAATTGCGTTAAAGCTGAAATGCTTTTTCTTTGTCAAATGCTGGAGAAATTTAGCTCTTGGATCAGAAAATACTAATCATGCAAAGATATATTTTAAGTTGATGACAGTGTCAAGTAATTTATTTACTGTATATTATCTTGTTTATATTTATTATTTTTAATTTTATTGTTAATAAATTTAATTTCGTTATAGTTACGTCAATTTAATATTTCCGTCTCAGAAAGTATTATTTGCTGCCCAGATAGCCAAATCTGCGCGAACAGATTTCGAGCAGAACTTGCTATCAACTTTTGATAACAAATTTGATGCAGAATCTGTTATATCAAATCTTGTTGCCAAATTGCCGTCAGATATGCGGCAGAACTTGTTGTCGGATAATTGCTGCAGATTTGCAGCAAAAACCGCGCAGAGTTTGTAGCGATTTGACGGCAGATTGGCGGCAGAAACCGCGCTTGCTGCGTTTTGCGCGGTTTTTGCTGCAAATTTAGCACCAATTGCCCGACAGCAAGATCTGTCGCCAAAACCGTAGCCTAATGAGACACAGATAGCTATGGTTTTGCTGTGAATTTTTTTATCAAATTTGCTGCGCGCTGTCTACGCTCAATTTGTTTACTGGATGAAAATGCAACATAAAGTGCTGAGATAACATATCTTAGAATAGCTCATTTCCTGTTTGCATATCATTATTCATCATTCCAGTATAGCAGTTTATAGCGTGACAACACGGCGCGTAGAAAATTAAGTTTGGAACTATTGGAAATTAATTATCCATTAATTGGAAACATGAAAAATATGACTGAACTGACAAAATGTTTTTTCGTATTTTTTTGTTTGTTAAAATGTGCTTATACGCTGTCTATTATCCAGGAACAAGGTAAGTTTATATTTATCTAATCTATATTAAGAGATAAATTAATTCTCAAGTGTTGCAGACTGGAAACACGTTTAACTATTTATAAAAAGCCTATGTAAAAGAAACCTATATAAAACCTAGCTATAAAAATAATAACAAAATAAAAAGAAATGTAAAAGTTAGAAAAATTAAGTAGAAAAAAGATGACAGGAACTATATTCTGTTGATATCTTACATTATATATTAATGTTTATTAATGTTAATTAGCTGTGACACAATTTTATACGTGTGATTTAATGTCTAGGGATATACTATTTGAATGTAAGTGACAGCATAGAGAATAAGTATGGATTAAAAATATATTGCCATACAGCAGAATCAAAACACCTCAGAGATATCTGGAAAATCATGACTGTAAGAAAATTGCCGATATATATCTTATGCAATTATATTCTATTTATAATTTAATTGTATATGTATGTATATATTGTAGATGCATCTAAATATCAGTAATTCAGAACAATATACTTTGTATCGTGGCAAAACACCTGATGAAATTGATCAAAAACATGAAAAAAAATCATTTGATATTCTTAATAATATGTTATTCTTGAGCATTCAGATCAATCCTTTTGAAGATACATGTATAGGTGTTTATATACATTCTTCTAATGAATCTAGGTATATAATGAGTATGACAGAAACAAGTAAGCACTAAATTTAAGATTAAATTTTGATTAAACTTTTTGCATGTATGTATAATCGACAACATCAATAATATATAATTATTGTTTATCATTAGATATTAATAGCTGTTCATTCACCATGATGGTAACAGGTATACTGATTTTTTGGTTTGCAAAAATATTAAGTCAGGAGCCAAACTTTTATTATGCTTGCTGTACTCTGTTTGGAATCATTAAATTGATCTTAATTTCCATATATAAAGTACGGAAATGGGTGCAAAAGGTAACTACTTTACACATATACATACTAATGTATATAATAACTATATGATACAAATTTTATACATATCTGTTTGTTTAAAATTAAGGTCAGTTTTGAATATTTCATTACTCGGGCTGTATTGAGTTTTCTTCTTGCTCTTTTCGTGTTCGAGGATTTGATCGCACATTTGATCTCAGAGCCATATGTACAATACATCATTTTATACATCATTATTTCATCATCAATCAGTTTTATGATTTGCTATGGTTTTGATCCTGTTATCAATACAAGAACTAAACAAATAATACAATGGTTTTTGCAAGTAAGTTACATTATGTAGTATTCTTTTCTAAATTCTTTGATATAAACAATTTTATGTTTGTGCAGACTACAGGATTAGTGTTAGTATATTATAGCAGTTATTTACGCGAAGCATCTCTTTTATGCTTCATTGTACTTGTACTTGTACAATTTGTACGTTGTACAATTTTCTAAAAGTAGTGCTGGAGCGAGGAAAAAGATATTGGTAAATATATGGTTGGATTTATATAGTACTTGTTATTGTTTTGTCGCCACTTGCACTAATTATACACAGAAATGCACTTACTTAAAAACTTGTTATTTTGCATTTTCAGATTAATTAATTAAGCACGCATCAATATTATCCATACATTTGTAATAATTTGATAGATACATATTGTTTGAGTATATATTACAGCGAGTTGTGTTATATTAAATTATATTTAGAAATATTATTTAAGCACTATATAATCATATGGTTTTAATTATTTTGAGTATTTTATTAATTTCTAACATAACGTTATGTATCTCTGGTTTAATAAATTTTGTTCTGTAAAAAATGTTTTAGTTCTTGTAGTCAGTAATAGTGCAAAATTTACTTTCTTGTTTGAGCAATTTTTGGATGCTTTTATAATGTGTATCGTTGCACGATTGTACCTTTAATTGACAATAAAAATCGTTTTGATCCGGTTACCAATCCAAAAATAAAACAAGTAACACAATGGTTTTTGCAGGTAAGCTAAATTATAATATCTCTTTCTAAACTTATTGATATAAGCAGTTTTACATTTGTCTGTAGATAGCAGGATTAGCATTGGTATATACTAGCAGTTACTTTCGCGAAGCTTCTTCTTTCTGCTGTATTATACTTGTATTTTTGTACATGTTTCTGAAAGCCTAAACAAGAAATATTGAAACGAGACATTGGTAAGTGTGTTTTGTATATGGCATAGTAGTAAAGGATGTTTGTGTATGACATTAATAACTACTACTTTGTTGTTAATCACTATTATATGCTACATGAGAATGCACTTATTTATAAGAATTTATTATTTTGTATGTTTTAGATTAATTAATTTAGTATTCATTAATTAAGTACTCATCTGTTCTGTATATATATATATATTTTTTTTTTTGTAATGATTTTATAAATTTGTAATATTGTTTGAATTATTATAGCATGTTGTATATATA